ACCCCCACAGGCTCCCAGGCAGGGTCACCAGCAGGGCCAGTGTTTGCCACCCTCCCCAACGCCCCCCTCAGAGGCCACCACTGCTAACCTGCCACCCCTGCACTTGCTTGAAAGGCAAGGGCCACCCAGACGATCCCGCCCAGGCCTGAGGCTCGCCCGTCCTGCAGCCGGGCCAGCTCCACCTTCCACCCACCCGGCCAGCCTTCTCTGTTTGCTCTCTGCTCACTGTCCGCCGGCAGTCGGCGCAGACCGGCAGGGGGCGGGCGAGGGCCTGCGCATCCAGGGTGGGGGTCGTTCTCAGGGCTGGGCAGGAACAGGCCAGGGCTAAGGGCTCGGAGGTCCCTCCAGACACACGGACATGAGCCAGCGAGCGTCAGAGGGGCAGCCCGGGGTCCCCACGATGGGGCTGGAGGGTGTGCGAGCAGGAGGCAGCATTTGGGGGTGCTGGTCGTGTGGTGCCCACTGTAGCCACAGTGGGGCCAGAGGTGCTGAGAGGGGGCAGAATCAAGGGGTCAAGCGGGGCGGCCAAGCTGAGGGGGTGGGCCGAGCCCACATCGGGTAGGGCCATCCTGGACGCTGCCCAAAGCTCCGGTCCAGGCCCTTCCCCCAGGAGCAGTTTCCCCACACCGCCCCCAGCTGAGCCCTCCCTGATGGGCAGGGTGGGTGGGCTCCCCCCGCCCACCTGGCTCAGGCTCCCGGTAGCTGCCGCCCCCTCCTGACACTGGCTCCTGTCTGTGGTGTCTCCGTCGGGGCCCAGCCCAGGGCCGGCACCTAAAACGGACCAAAAGGCCCACGGGGCCGGCCTGCGGGCAGCACGCAGGGAGCACCACACAGCCCACTCACCACACAGCTCCAGCTCCACCGAGCCCATGGCAGCCGGACGCACAGACAGCAGTGTCCTGGCTATGGGCTGCCAAACCGCCCTGGCCGGGAGCCGGCCGCCACCAGGACCCCTCCCGCAGCCCCAGGTGTGGTGCCCTCCTCACCTGACAGCCACACTGTGGGGCAGCAGGGAGTGGTCAGCGCTGAGGCTGCCCTGCGGGGGGCCCGAGCCCAGAAGAAGGGGCAGGGGCCCAGGTGGGGAACAGTGTCACCCCAAATTCAGGCCCGGGGGGCAGAGGCTGAAAGTGCAAATGTGGGGGCCAGGCACTGGTGGCATCAGCTGGGGGAGGGCGGAGGTCTGTGGGGTGAGCACCCTTCCTGGTGCCTATCCACCCCCCTGTAGTGCTGGCTCGGGGTAGGGTCTGGAGGAGAGAACCTGGGGGCCTGACGGGCCTGCAGCCCTGGGGCGAGGGTCCCCGGTGAGGCGAGATTATGGGGAGAAGGGGCTGCAGGCCACTGGGCAGAAGTCCGGACCCACTCGGGTGGCAGCACCTCCTGGGCCTCCCCAGGTCCCCAGCAGCGGGCAAGCGACAGCTCCCAGACTGGGCAACACCTCAGCCCCACCAGCCAGGGGTCCGGGGCAGTCCTGGCTTTGTGCCCAGTCGGTGGGAAGTCCTGCGGGCTCTGCCGTGGAGCAGCCCATCCTGCCCGCCGCCCGGGCCCCGCCACAGACAGGCGAGGGCAGCCGGCCAGGTCCAGGCACGGCCGCACAGAGGCCAGGTCCGCGCCCACGTTGGGGTGCTTCCCCAACTCGCCTGAAAGCCACTGCTGTCGGTCCTTTGATGTGACCAGGGGTCAGTGCAGCCCCCTGTGGGGCAGGGAAGCCCCCTGCCCCCCCAGGGAACGCCACACCTGACTCAGGGCGGGGTGGAAGGGTGGGCCAACCAGCGTGCGCCAGGCCCCCCGTCCCTGGCAAAGGTCCGGTCGGGGCTGCCCCGCAGCCAGGGCCGCAGGCACAGGGCCCGTCCGCCTCGTTAGGCCGGGAAGCAGCAAGCGGTGCGCGGGCCCTTCCCCTGGTCACCGGCTCCCAGGCTGGGCCAGGCCTCAGGGCCCGCAGGGCTCCCTGCCTCAGAGCAGCCTGGCCCAGGGGGCCGGGGGCCAGGCGCTGCTCAGGGCGGGCCACGCCCACGGCGGGCCCGGCGGGGGTCCGAGCTGGGGCGCGAGGGAGCACAATCGCCCCCTTGTCCGGCCGCAGGTTCCGCTTCCCAAGGCCGGCCAGCGGGATGTGCTCTTATCGCCGAGGCCGCGGGGAACAATGGCCGCACACACGCTTATCTCCCCACTGTTTGCTCAGCGTGTTTGAGCGCTCCCAGGTCAGCCACCAACACGCCATTCTCCGAGGCTCCCCAGGATGCCCCCCACCCCCCGCGCGGTCCACCAACCGAAGCGCCTGAGGCCGAGCACCCCTGCGGTCACAAATCCTGGAACACGCAGCACGTTTTTTTCCAGGAAACTCAAACCACACCTCACACGGGTACACAGATGCATGCATGCATGCGTAGGTGTGCCCACATGCCCACAAACACATGCATGGCACACAGTCACATGTGCACACACACAGCGTGTGCACGGCAGTTACACATGTGCATGTTCTTACCCAGCATGTGCATGACAGCACGTGTGGGCACATATGCACATGCTCGCACACGGTACATGCACACACATGGTACATGCACAGCACACACACAGCACGTGCACCTGATGCACAAACAGCAGATACACTCACATGGGTACATGATGCAGACACACGCATGTGCACGCAGCACACACAATGCATGAGCATCTCGGTCCAGGCTCTGGGCAGGGGCGCCATCGCTGTCCGGGTGACATCCAAACCCCCACCAGGGTCACACCTGTGTCCCTCAAGGTGCCAGGGGTGACACTGGAGACCCCAACACAGCCCCGGCCCCTCCCCAGGCCCTGCAGCGCAGTGACCCAGGAGTGTCCTGGGACCCCGGTTCCCACAGACAGCCCCCCGAGGGGTGAGGCACCGCTGGGAAACCCCACAGCTCCCGATGGGGGGCGCTGAGCAGAGACGGGCGGAGGGCGGCAGCAGCAGGAGGGTGACACTGGGGGCGGTGGGGAGGCCCCGAGGAGCAGCCAGGCCAGGGCCTTCGGGCGGGTGCCTGTGGGTGGGTGGCAGGCCGGCCGGTGGCAGAGCAGCGTGCCCCTGGGGGGCAGGTGAAGCCGCTGGGGGCCCTGCACCACGGGCCGCCGGATGACAAGGCCCAGGGCTCAGTTCCACCGAGAGCCCGGCCACGGGGACCCCAGGGAACAGCCTCGCTCCCCACCGCAGGCCACACCAGGCCCCGTGGCTCCGTGTGGTGGGAGAGGGCTCAGGCGGCCCTCACAGCAGAGGCCCGGCACCCAAGTGCTTTCCCGCCGGGCTTCTGGGCCCCCCGCGCTGCCCGCCTGAGGTCTGACACACCACCTCCCCTCGGACCCACTTGCCCTTCCACAGCCCGGCCAGGACGGAGGCCTGTGGGAATGCCCACCCTTGTCGCCGTGAGACCCCCGGAGCTCCAAGAGCCCCCAGGACTGCAGGGACTCTCCAGGGATGGGGAGCCCCCTGGGGGGCCCCTGGCAAAGCCTGGCCCTTTCCCCCACCGCCCCTCGCTGCAGTGGGCCCAGCAGGGCACCCGAGGACCTCCTCCCCCAGTCCTGCGACGGCTCCAGCCTCTCGTCCCGCTGGGTGGGGTGCACGCCTGGGCCCGGGGTTCCGGGGCCGCTCGAGCTTAAGGGGAGAGGGCCAGGACAGCACCTGGGGACGGCATCTGGCACCCGAGGGCCAACAGCTCGCTGAGCACAGTTTCTGTTAGAACAATTTTCTATTAAAACTAAAGTTTACTTCGGGTAAACAGGTGGCACCTCCTGCGTTTGTGTGGCTGGGCCTCCAGCTGTGGGGAGGGGCAGCCGAGCCAGACCACGCGGGCCCAGGGGTCTGTGACCCCGTGTGCAGCCCCACGTGGGGGATGGGGCCTGGGGCCTGGGGCCTGGGGCCTGTGAGTGGCCAGTGGCCCAGACGCAGCTCCTTGGTGGAAGGGGCCCCGTGTCTCTGCGGGAACAGAACCACCCTTAGAAACGGGATGTCCCCCCCAAGTCAGGCCCTGAGTTCCCATGTGGGGTCCCACTTGGGGCTGGGCTGCCCTGGAGGGCAGTCAGGCCCACCCTGCTCCCCAGCTGACAGAGAGACCCACAGAGAACCCAAAATACAGGTCTGTGACCTGGACCCTCACCTCCCCCAACCACGACCCTCATCCTGACCCTTAGCCCGATCCCTTGAGGCGCCAGCGCACGTCCCGCCCACAGACAAAGGCCCCGGCCTGCCACCCCTGCTCCCAGAGAGGCCGCCCCCAGGGGCCACGCCGCCCTCCCCAGGGGCCGGCAACCTGAGGCTGGCATGACCCCACGGAAATGCCCCGGATGGGAGGCCCCCCGAGGCCACCTGACGCTGCTCTTAGGAGTCAAAGAGCTCAGGGGGTTGGGGGGCAGAGAACAGGCCTGGGGCCCCTGGGATGCAGCATGGCCACTGCTCCCCCAGGACCGGAGTCCCAGGAGGCTGGCCCCGGCACGTGGTGTCAGCCTCCAGACCGCTGTCCTGTCCGAGCCCCACAGCCGGCTGCCCAGTGCGACGGCCTCGCCCCTGGGACCCCGCCAGAGGGCAGCCTGCCTGCCGCGGTCTCCCTGCCGGGCGTGGGGCTGGGGCCCAGCATGCCGGTGCCTTCTGGGGGTCCTGAGGTCTGGAGGAGCAGAACCCACCCAGGAGCCGTGCCAACACTTGGGGCTCCCCGGCTGGGGCGGGCGGCGCCCAGGCTGACCCCTGGAACCACCTCCCAGGACGGCAGCCCCCCGCGGTCACAGCCTGGAGCAGACGGGGGAGGCGTGTGCAGGATCCTGGAGGGGGGGTGCCAGCCCCCTGCTTGGAAGCGAGCGATAATGGGAACAATTTTCCCAAGACGTGCGAGTCCTGATAAAGCAGAGCCCGAGATCCTGTTTGGCCGCCGCTGCACCCGGCTAGCGGTGGCAATCACAGGGCTGGAGCGTGGGGTGTGGGTGGGCGAGGCAGGGGCAGGGCCGGCAGCCCCTACATAAGGCGTCCCGGGCGGGCTGTCCTGCGCATAGGTGCCGCTAGCCTGCCCGGCGTTCAGCGGCGGGAGGGGCCAGGTCCCGCGGCGACCTCTCTCCTGCACTCACCATGCTGGGGCCGCAGCTGCTGCTGCTCCTGTCCTGCGGGGGTGCCCTGCTCTGCGCCGGTGAGTGCGGGCCTGTGGGCTGTGCCTGGGGGACGGCCGGGGGCCCCTGGGCACGGGAGCGCCTGCCCGGTTGCTCGGCTCTCCGGTGCGGCTGACGGCGGAGTGGCCTCGGGGACGTGGGCAGATGGGAGGCCCTCACCCGTCTGTGGCCAAGGCCTGGGCCGGCCGGCCAGCAAGGGTCAGAGGGCGCCGCAGCCAAGGGCCCGGGAGGAGGGACTCAGGGCCGCAGTGGGCGGGGGTCCCACAGGGACCCGCAGTCTCCTCCACAGGACCTGCAGTGTCAGGGGGCCCCTGCCGGGCAGGCGGTGGGGGCTCGGCCTGGAGCTGGGCACTCCCACCCTCCCACTGGGCCAGGGGTCCTCAAGGGCTGCCAGGGGTCCACTAGGGTGGCCACGGTGATGTGAGGCCACAGAACCCCCGTGGAGAACCGGCTCCGTGGGTCCTGGCTGGGAATGATGACCGGTCAGTGGGCACTGGGCCTCAGTCTCCCTGTCGGTGGAAATGGGGCCACAAGCCCACCCAGTCCCACCCACGGGCCCCCTTTCTCCTCTCCACCACCGCATCCTCGTCCCTTCTGACCAGCACCCAGCACCGCCGACGCCACAGGCTCACGGGTGGTTCCCACCACGCCTGCCCCAGCCCTGGGACAGATCGCTGAGGGGTGAGGGGCCCAGGGGGAAGACCCTCCTCAGTGACCACTGGCACCAGGCACGGTGTCTTCTCTGCCTGCCGGAGAGTCCAGGTGGCTGAGCCCAGGGGGACTCACCCCTCCTCTCCCCTTAGTCCTAGGCCTGCGGTCCCCCCTACCCCCAGTGGCCCCATATCCCCACCAGCCTCCCCAGGGAGGCAGGCGGTGGGCCCAGGTGCAGACACCAGCCCTGGGGGCTCCCTGGGCCCACCCCGCACCCTCCCTCCAGGCACAGCCATTTCCACCAGGGCTGGCTGGGTGCCCTGAGGACCCCAGCCCGGCCGAGGGCCCAGAACAGGGGGAGGGGCAGGCCTGCAGGCTTGGGGAGCCGAGGGGGCCCAGGCTGTGTGTGGGGCAGGGTGGAGGGGGCAGGCTCTGGTCGGAGTCTCAGCGCCGCCTTTGCTGGCCTGGGACAGAGCGGGGAGGGAGGGAGGGGCCCCTGCCCTCCGGGACCAGAGGCCTGAGGTGGTGGGGCCGGGAAGGAGGCCGCTGCGGGGCCAGGCCTGCGCCAGACCAGGCAGGGGCGGCGGGGCCACCAGGTGTGCAGAAGGAACAGCGAGGGATCCGGCCGCTGCAGGGCCGGTCTGGGGCCCAGGGGGCTGACGGCCAGCCGCCCCACAGTTGCGGGGGGCCCGGCCGGGGCTCAGCGCCTGCCCCAACAGCGGCGGGGAGTGCGGCCCCGCTCCTGAGCATCTCCAAAGGAGCCCCCGCTGCTGAGGTGTGTGGGGGTCGCAGTTCAGACAGAGCGGGAGGCCACGGGCCCGGGGGTGGGGGGGACACAGCAGACGGAAGGGCGGGAGATGTGGCAGGGCTCTGGGGGGCGGCACCAAAGAGTGAGGAGCCGGCAGAGGGGCCGCTTCGAGTGGGGCCTGGGGGGTCAGCCTCTGGGGGCCGCGGGTGTGAGCAGAGACCAGACCTGCCCGACACCCCATGGGAGGACGGACGGGCCGGGGTCACCACCCCGTTGGGAAGGTGGATCCTGCCCCCACAGCCACCGTGACCCACGCCACCTGGGCGTTTCTCTGGCAATGGTCGCCGTAGCCCCAGGATTCTCTGGGAGGCTGACGGGCGGGGGAAGAGAAGCAGAACCTCAGAGGGAGCCCCGGGGGCTGAGCTGGGAGCAGAGGGGTCCCGCCCCACAGAACTCCTCCCCCGCTGTTCCGTCCCCCACCTGCCCCCAGACCACCGGAGTCCCTCTGGGCCCAGGGCTCCCCCTCGCCTCCCCGCGGCCACCCCAGGGCGATCCACGCAGGGCCCAGCCGCCCCAGACCCACGCGAGCCTGCCCACAGTCGGCTGGGCCCGCAGCCTGTTACCCCTCGGCGGCGTCTGTCCCGCACTCGGGGTCCCCCGCCAGCCTGAGGGGCCTGGCACGCCCGGGGGTGCAAGAGAGAGGGGACCCTGAGGGCCCACCGGCCCTGACCCCCCCACGCTCGCAGCCCACCCAGCTGCCGTCTCCAAGGCCTCGGGCTGCGCTCACAGCCCACGTGCGTGCGAGAGCGGGTGTGCAAGCGAGAATAGGTGTGTGAGCGAGAGCGGGTGTGCGAGCGAGAACAGGTGTGCAAGAACGGGTGTGCGAGCGCCTCCCCTTCCTGGGGGCTCGGGAGCAGGGACCTCGCCCCCACTGTGTCTCCGGCGCCCAGCGGGTGGCAGGCACACGCCCGGTGCCCCCCCCACGGGTCGGGTGAGGGACCGGGCGGGCGAGCGAGCGGACGGATGGAGGAGGGAGGGGACGGGAGAAGCCGGAGGTGTGGAGAGCGCACCGGGGCTGGGCTCAAGCCGGGGCCAGCGCACGGCCCCGACCCAGCCCTCGGCCCTGCTGGCGGCTCAGCTCTGAGCACCGGGGCGGAGGCGGCCGGTCCCAGCACTGACCGTGCGCTCTGCCCACGCAGGTCTGGACGACGCCTCCTCCACCCACCCAGGCCTCCAGGGGCCGAAGAACTCCTCACAGACAGGTGAGGGCCACGGCCCCGCCTCAGGGTGGCCAGGATCTGGGTTTTCCTCGAGGGGCATCAGTCACAGGAGGGCCCTGGCCAGCTGTCCCCCCTGGGGGATGGGCCTGTGCTGCCGGGCGGGGGGGCGGGGGGGGAGGAGGCCATGGCGCAGGGGCTGGGCCACAGCGTGTGTGTCCTACGGCACCCAGCACTGGTGACACGGAGACCCCCACCCGGGGCCTCGGGGGACAGACCCCGGCCCTGGGTGTGGGGTGTGGCCTCATTCCCCCGCCCTGGGAGGGTCTGGGGTGGACGGCACTTGTCTCTGAGCTGGGCGTGGGGTCCCCAGGGGCCTGGCTCTTGCAACCAGGCTGCCCGGAAGCCCCTGGGCCAGCCGGGGGGCACAGAACTCTGCAACCCCACCCCGCTCCCCACAGCTCCGGGCAAGGGCTGGTGCTCCACGTGGGGGGCCGGCCACTTCTCCACCTTCGACGGCCACGTGTACGACTTCGAGGGGACCTGCAACTACGTCTTCGCGGCCATCTGCAAGGACACCTCGCCCACCTTCAGCGTCCAGCTGCGGCGAGAGCCTGGCGGCAACATCTCCCGGGTCATCGTGGAGCTGGGGTCCTCCGCGGTCACCGTGCAGCAGGGGGGCATCTCCGTCAGGGACGTGGGGTAGGCGGCGGGGCCGGGCCTCTGGGGGCCGAGGGAGGGCGTGGCCGGGGGACCGAGGCGGCCGCCGCTGACCACCGCCCCCCCACAGAGCCGTCAGCCTGCCCTACACCGGCAGCGGGCTGCAGATCGCCCCCTTTGGCCAGAGCGTGCGGCTGGTGGCCAAGCAGCTGGAGCTGGAGCTGGTGGCGGTGTGGGGCCCGGGCGCCCACCTCATGGTGAGGGCGTGGCTGGGGTGGGGGTAGCTGCACCCGGGGGCGGGCGCCTGGCGGGCAGAGCTGAGGGGCTGCCCCCTTGGGGTGGGGGCCCTGACCAGCCCCCCAGCCCCTGCCACGTGGTGCCGGCCCCAGCCAGGAGCCTGGGTGGGCCTGGGCTTGGCCGGCAGCTCAGCTCCCTCTTCTGAAGGTGAAGGTGAGGGCCGTCCAGGGGGAAAGGCAGTCCCCAGGGAGGGGCGGGCAGGGCAGCCACCACCCACACGCGGAGGGTGTCCTGGGGCCTGCAGTGGGCAGCCCCACCCCGCTCATGCCCCGCGGTGCTGCCCCGCCACCCCAGGTGCTGGTGGAGGACAGGCACAGGGGCAGGATGTGCGGGCTCTGCGGGAACTTCAACGGCAAGAAGAGCGACGAGTTCCTGAGCGAGGACGGTAGGTGTGGGCGGGCCGGGGCCCCGGGGCGGCCGGCCCCGTGGTGCTGACCCGGACCACCCCCCACCCCGCAGGCAAGCTCCTGGAGCCCCGCAAGTACGCGGCCCTGCAGAAGCTGGACGACCCCAACGAGATCTGCGCCCACGAGGCCGTCCCCGGCCCCCGGGTCCTGCGGGCAGAGCATGTGAGTGAGGTGGTCGGGCTACCCGGGGCCCGGGCGCCCTCAGCCACGGGGGGCCAGCTGCAGCCTTTCGGGCAAAACACTGGGTGTGGGGCGTGGCCTTCCCCCCATGACCTGGTGGCCCTCTGCCCAGGCCCAGACCTGCGCCCAGCTGCTGACCCTGGTGGCCCCCAAGTGCAGCGTGCCCACGGAGCCCTTCCTGCGGAGCTGCCAGGCAGACCTGGCCACGTGTGCCCAGCCAGGCCGGCAGGGCTGCGGCTGCGCCACGCTGTCTGAGTACTCGCGCCAGTGCAGCCTGGCCGGCCAGCCCGTCAGCCGCTGGCGGGGCCCCGGCCTCTGCTGTGAGTCCCGGGGGCGGTGGGGGGGAGGGGGCGGGCAGGACCCTGAATGCCACCTCCTCCAAGAGGCAGGAGGCCTGCTGGAGGAGGGGCTGGGCAGGGCCGCGGGGCACCTGCCTTCTCACCGGGGCCCCACGTGCCTGCAGCCCTGGGCCTGTGCCCGGCCAACCAGGTGTACCAGGAGTGCGGCGAGGCCTGCGTCAAGACCTGCTCCAACCCACAGCACAGCTGCTCCAGCTTCTGCACCTTTGGCTGCTTCTGCCCGGAAGGTGAGGCGCCGCTCCCCTCAAGACCCCCCCACCCCGGCCCCGATGAGCCAGAGGCAGGGAATCAGCCCCCACCCCACCCAGCACAGAGCCCTGCCGGGCACACGGGGACCAGAAACTGCCTGCCACCCCCGAAGTGTGCCTGTGGCCACAGGTGCGCGCGCACGGCACAGTGAGCTGGCGTCCACGGCAGGGTCCGAGAGGCAGCGGGGAGGTGGGCTCTGAGCCAGGCCAGAGGCGGGGCCCGGGCTCACGTGGGCGCGGAGACGGAAGTGGAGACCAGGGCCTCCGGAGGCATGGGTCGGGGGACGGTGTCTCTGCCACGCAGCCCAGGAAGCCCCTTTCTGCAGGCATGGTTCTCGATGACGTTTCCAAAAACCTCACCTGCGTGCCAGTCGCTCAGTGCCCCTGCATGCTGGGCGGGGTGGCCTACGCCCCCGGGGAGGTCACTGCGGACGCCTGCCGCACCTGGTGAGTGCAGCGGCCCGTGAGGGCCCGAGGCCGGGAGGGGATGTGGGGGGCCCGGGTGCCAAGCAGGTAGCAGAGGCAGCCAGCTCTGCTGGCCCAGAGCACCCCAGGGTGCCACCTGGCCCCGCAGCCCTGCCCACCACTCCGGGTGGCCCTCCCCACCCACAGCCAGTGCACCATGGGACACTGGAAATGCGAAGAGCGGCCCTGTCCCCGGAGCTGTGCCCTGGAAGGCGGCTCCTTTGTGACCACGTTCGACGCCAGGCCCTACCGCTTCCACGGGACGTGCACCTACATCCTCCTCCAGGTGGGCAGGCCCGCCACAGGGACTCACCCAGGGGTCCCGGCCAGAGGGGTCAGCCTGGGGTGGGGGTCTCACGAGGGGTCCCGCCCAGAGGGGTCAGCCTGGGGTGGGGGTCTCACGAGGGGTCCCGCCAGGGGGCTCACCAGCAGCCCCGGCCCTCCGAGCTCACTGCCCTCCCCCCAGAGCCCGCAACTCCCCGACGGGGGCTCCCTCATGGCGGTATACGACAAGTCTGGGTACTCGCACTCGGAGACCTCCCTGGTCGCGCTCATCTACCTGTCCAGCCAGGTGAGGCCACCGCCTGCAGCCGCTGCACCCGCCCAGGCCCCCAGGCAGCCGTGCGTCCCTGCCGCGTCCCCCTCCCGCCGCTCCCCACGTGGCCGCAGGTCCCCGCGCCCCTGGCGCCCCAGTGACTCGGCCCGTCCCCCCTCCAGGACAAAATCGTGATTTCCCAAGACGAGGTGATCACCAACAACGGAGACACCAAGTGGCTGCCATACAAGACCGGTGCGTGGGCAGCCCCCGCCCGGCCCCGGGGTGGGTCCCGGGGAAGGCCGCCCACTGAGCCCTCCCCCTCCCCCCGCAGGCAACATCACGGTGTTCAGGCAGACGTCCACCCACCTCCAGATGGCCACCACCTTCGGGCTGGAGCTCGTGGTGCAGCTGCGGCCCGTGTTCCAGGCGTACATCACCGTCGGGCCCCACTTCAGGGGCCAGACCAGGGGTGAGTCCCTCCCACGCCAGCCCAGGGCCGGACGGGCGGCCACAGCCCGCCTGGCTTGACCTGGCCGGAAGCAAAGGGGCCTCAGAGCCTCACTCGGACCCGGCCGGTGCAGCTCCTCCCGGCCGCCGGCCCACCTGAGGGCCCCGCCTCTCGCCCAGAGCGTGGTCGGGGGGTGCAGGCCAGCCCGACCTCACAGCCCGGCCCGCGCAGGGCTCTGCGGCAACTTCAACAGGGACACGACGGACGACCTCACCAGCAGCATGGGCGTCGCCGAGGGCACCGCCTCACTCTTCGTGGACTCCTGGCGGGCTGGGAACTGTCCGGCCACCCTGGAGCGCGAGACCGACCCCTGCTCCATGAGCCAGCTCAACAGTGAGTGCCCGGCCCCGGGGGGCTGCGGGGCAGGCGGGAGACCCGGGCCAGGCGGGCGGGAGACCCACCGGACCTGTCCCCGCAGAGGTGTGCGCGGAGACCCACTGCGCGGCGCTGGTGAACAAGGGCACGGTGTTCGAGAAGTGCCACGCCGTGGTGAACCCCAAGCCCTTCTACAAGGTGGGCAGGGCCTGTGGGCAGCCAGGGGGACGGCCGTGGGGGCGCCTCGGGGGCTCTGGGCAGCGGGCGGGCGGGCGGGCAGGGGCCCACGCTCCTGTCCACGCCCCCGCAGAGGTGCGTGTACCAGGCCTGCAACTACGAGGAGACCTTCCCGCACATCTGCGCCGCGCTGGGGGCCTACGCCCGCAGGTGCGCCTCTCGGGGCGTCCTGCTCTGGGGCTGGAGGAGCAGCGTGGACAACTGCAGTGCGTGAGGCCGCGTGGCAGGGACAGCGGGGGCTCCGGGGTCGCGCAGAGGGTGGGGTGGCCATGAGGGCCGGGGCCGGGGCCCTGTCGGCCATCCCCCGGGGACCTGACGCCCGGGCCCCCCGCAGCCGTCCCCTGCACGGGCAACCAGACGTTCAGCTACGACAGCCGGGCCTGCGGCCGCACGTGCCGCTCGCTGTCCGACCGCGCTGCCGAGTGCCACCCCAGCGCCGTTCCCGTGGAAGGCTGCAACTGCCCAGAGGGCACCTACCTCAACCACAAGGCTGAGTGTGTGCGCAAGGCCCAGTGCCCCTGCCTCCTGGACGACCGCAAGCTCGTCCTGGCCGGCCAGTCCACCGTGGTCAACGGCGCCATCTGGTGTGTGAGGCGTCCGCCGCACAGCCCTAGGGGGCGGCTGGCCCCACCCCGCCCGCCCGCGGCCCCGGTCCCAGGGCCATCCGCTCACACGGCCTCTCTTTCAGCTACTGCACGAACGGGCGGCTGAGCTGCCCCGGGCGGCCACGGGCGCTCCTGGGTACGTAGCTCGGCCGAGGCAGCGGGCCTGGACCGCGCGGAGCCCTGGCCCCCGCCGAGCCCGCCTCACCGGCCCCTCTCCCCTGCAGCTTCCTGCCCGGCCCCCAAGACGTTCCAGTCCTGCAGCCAGTCCTCCGAGAGCAAGTTTGGGGCGGCCTGTGCCCCGACCTGCCAGATGCTGGCCACTGGCACCCCCTGCGTAAGCCTGGGGCAAGCGAGGGGCGGGGCGCTCCCCGCGGGAGACCTGTGCCGGCCATTCCGGTGGCCGCCGCCGGCACGGAGCCTCTCCCTGGGCCGTGAGAGGCGGTCCACGGAGCCCTCAGGAGGGGCTGAGCTGCCCCTCCATCCCTGCCCGCCATGATAAGCGTGGCCACTGGGGTGGGAGGCCAGGCCGCTGGAGGGCCCGGTGCTCCATCTGTGGGGTTCCCCGAGGACTGGAGCCCCCGACTTGGGGAGGGAGAGGAGGAGCCCTACAGCCCAGCCGTGAGCCCCAGACATGCCAGAACCTTCCTGAGGGAGGGGTGGCTTTGCTGCAAGGAAGGCCGGGGCAGAGGGGACGCAGGCAGTGAGCCTGGAAGGAATGCGGGGGAGTCTCCGAGTGGCCCACAGCCGGGCCCCCCCCAGGACCGCCACCCCCCTCCCTCCCTGTAGGTGCCCACCAAGTGTGAGCCCGGCTGCGTGTGCGCCGAGGGACTCTACGAGAACGCCAGCGGGCAGTGTGTGCCCCCCGAGGAGTGCCCGTGCGAATTTGCGGGGGCTTCGTACCCCCGGGGTGCCGAGCTCCACACCGGCTGTAAGACCTGGTAAAGCCACTGCCCCACCCTAGGGACCCCAGTGGCCCAAGGCTGTCCGCGGGGTCCTTTGGGGTTGGCAGGGGGTCAGCATCCTGTGGGGGGCGTGAGGCCCAGGCCGCTCAGAACCCCAGAGCACCTGCTCCTCCCTCAGCACCTGCTCGAGGGGCAAATGGACGTGCCAGGACGGTGTCCACTGCTCGTCCACCTGCACCCTCTATGGAGAGGGCCATGTGGTCACCTTTGACGGGCAGCGCTTCGTGTTCGAGGGCAACTGCGAATACATCCTGGCTACGGTGAGGCCGGGGGGGGGGCAGGGAAGCCACAGGGGCGGGCGACAGGGAGGCCCTGGGGGTGCCGCACAGAGCTCCTGGCCGGCCGCCCCTCACCGCCCCCTCCCCACAGGATGGCTGCGGCACCGACGACCCCCGGCCCACCTTCAAGGTCCTGACGGAGAACGTGGTGTGCGGGAAGTCGGGCGTCACCTGCTCCCGGGCCATCCGCGTCTCCCTGGGGGTGAGCAGGCGGGCGGGTGCCCCCCACGCAGCCTCTGTGCCGCTGGCCGCTCACAGAGAGCAGCGGCGTCTCCCCGGGCTGAACGGCCATGAGGGGTGGGACGCAGGGAGCCCTCCCAGGAGTTCGAGTCAGCCCTCAGGGCAGTATCCATGATGTTCTGGAACCTTCTGCCCACGGCAGGCTCCAGAAGGCATGCACCGGCCCACGTGTGTCCTCAGTGGACACGTCCAGCCTGCCTGGAAGGACACGGGCGGGGAGGCAAAGCTGGCGGCATGGGGCGGCCCGGGCCTGGGGGCAGGCAGCCAGTGACGCCCCTGCCCCCCAGGGCCTGTCCATTGTGCTGGCGGACAGGAACTACACGGTCAGCGGGGCCGAGCCCGACGTGCACTGGCGGGTCAAGGCGGGCTCCCTGCACCTGCAGCTGGACATCACCATCGGCAGCAGCTACAACCTGACCCTCATCTGGAACAAGCACATGACCGTCTCCATCAAGATCTCACGGGCCACACAGGTACAGCACGCCCCTGCCCAGGCCGTGGGGGGGCGGGGGGCTGCCGCACCCGCACCCCGCTGACCCCGGCCTCCCCAGGACGCCCTGTGCGGCCTGTGCGGCAACTACAACGGGAACATGAAGGACGACTTTGAGACGCGCGGCAAGTACGTGGCGTCCGACGAGCTGGAGTTCGTGAACTCGTGGAAGGAGAGCCCGCTGTGCGGGGACGCCAGCCTCGCGCTGGATCCCTGCAGCGTGAACGCCTTCCGCCGCGCCTGGGCCGAGCGCAAGTGCGGCGTCATCAACAGCCAGACCTTCGCCGCCTGCCACAGCAAGGTGGGCCCCACGCCGGGGCCCCGGGCCGACGGGGCGGGGGGGCGGGGGGGGGTGCGGCGGCCACTGACGGCCGGCCCCCACAGGTGTACCGCCTGCCCTACTACGAGGCCTGCGTGCGCGACGCGTGTGGCTGCGACACCGGCGGGGACTGCGAGTGCCTGTGCGACGCCGTGGCCGCCTACGCCCAGGCCTGCCTGGACAAGGGCGTGTGCGTGGACTGGAGGGCCCCCGACTTCTGCCGTGAGTGCCCCGCCCCGCCCCCGAGGGGTGGCCCCGGCGGCAGCTCCCCTCCTGGGTGGGGGTCCAGCTGAGCCCCCGCAGAGGGACCCCCCGGGGCCCCCGGGCTGCTGCGCGGGCTCAGGGCCCCTCACGGGCGTCTGTCCTCCCAGCCATCTACTGCGGCTTCTACAACACGCACGCGCGGGCGGGCGCCGGCCAGTTCCGGTATACCCAGGAGGCCAACTGCACGTGGCACTACCAGCCGTGCCTCTGCCCCCAGCACCTGCAGAGCCTCCCAGACGCCAACATGGAAGGTACGGGGCACAGAGAGAGAGGGTGGCCCAGGGGACTGGTGGCTCCCCGGGCCAGGTGGAGAGGGGCATGAAGGCCGGGGCAGGACAGGTGGCGGAGGGGAGGGCCCGGAGCTGGGGGGCTGCAACAGGCAGGATGTGGGGGGTGGGGGTGGGCCAGTGCAGGGTGGCTGGGGGTGGGGGGTGAGGGGCAACTGCCTCTGCAGCTCAGGGGAGAGGCCAGGGCAGCTGCGACAGAGAGGGCAGGAGCCAAGGCCTGAGGAAGAGGGGCCTCCGGCTCCGGCCCTGAGGCCCGGCGCTCTGGCACCGCCCCCAGGTTGCTACAACTGCTCCCAGGACGAGTACTTCGACCACAACGCGGGGACCTGCGTGCCGTGCGGTAAGCGCCGTCAGAGGGCCCACACCCTGCACACACCTCCGCCCGCTCTCGAGCAGCCCCTCCCCCGGCTGCACCCTGCCGCGCTGAGGCCCCCATACCCCACACAGCAGGCATGGGAGACCCCCCTCCCCATGCGCTGAGTCCCCACACCCAGCCCCCAGCCGCTGGGTGCAGAGCAGGAGCCACCTGGGGGCTCCAAGACTGTGGCCTGGAGAGCGGCCGGGAGGTGGGTGCTGGACAGCGTCCCGCTGCCAAGCCGCCACTAAGGTCAGGGGCGGTGCTGAGGAGGGAGCAGATGGGGTAAAAGGACAGAGGAGCAGGGGCCGCCTCTGCCTCTGGCAAGCCCCCCCGACTCAGGGCCTGGGGACGACCGGAGGGCTGGGCAGGACAGGTGGCAGGAGGGAAACAGTGCTGACCGCCCGTCCTCTTGCAGTGCTGCTGCCCACCACGCCGCCGCCGCCGCCGCCGCCCACCACCACAGGTGATTGCACGCACACTAGGTGCCAAGGTGAAACACGCAGTCTCCTCGGACCCTTCCCTGGACGGCCGTCGGCCCAGCCTGTCTCCACCCAGCACCCTGGCTGGCGTGTGGGGCAGGGCTGCAGTGCACCAGGGCTGACCTGGGCTGCCCCCGCTGTAGTAGGAACGGCTGTGCCGACCAGGAAGGCGGAGGGGAGGGCCGAGTAAAGCTTAGCTCCCGGGCAACCAACAGGCGCCCAGCTGTGACCCCACGGCATGGCCACTGTCACAGCAAAGCCGCCGGGACCGCCCGGTGCCTCAGAGGGCCACAGGCGCACCCCCGTGCCTTCCGCTCCGGCTCCCTGGGGCGGGGGGGGGGGTGCTGCGTGGCTCAGGGGCTCGGCAGGCAAGCGAGGGAGCTCCTCAAAAGGCTGTGTGCACAGCGATGGCCCCTCTGCCCTCCACAGAAGCCAAGCTGACCACGACCCCCCCCCAGAGCCACTGGCCTCCTCAGCCCCACTGTACCCTCAGCCAGCTCACCCCCCACACCTGGGACCCCCACAATAGGCTTTACGCCCACAGCCACAGCCACGCCCGCGGCCTCAGCACCCTCCCGCCCAGGCAGGGGCAGCCCTGACCACGCAGACAGGACGCCCCGCCTCTGCTGGAGATAAGGCCACACAGCGGGGGCAGGGCATGTGCAGGACCACAGATGCGCTCCAGGGGGCGCGGGACGGGGGCACCCCACTCCCCCACAGAGCACACGCTCAGACACAGGAGCTGTGTTTGCAGAATCAGCCAGTCACAGAACACGGCCCCTCCCTGCCGACACGGTCGCTGGCAGCGAGTGGGGCGTGCAGGGTGCAGCCGGCACCTGCCAGCCCTCCGTGAGGCCGCCCCACCCTACGCAGCAGCACCCCCGTCCAGCTGCCCAGGGACCATGGGGGGGGGGATGTGCGTCCTGCCAGGGCAGGTGAAGAAGCACCCAGTGGCCCCATGAGACCATGGCCCCGGGGATGCCCCTGAGGCTGCCAAGTCCAGGCCAGCTGAGAGAGGACGTGAGGGTCAGCTAGAGGAAGACAAGCGCCCCTCTCAAGGGGGTCCAGTGCACCCTGCTGGCCAGGGCCTGGTGACACAGGTGGGGAAAGCACCTCAGATTCAGCAGGGAGAGGGGGCACCAGCAGATGGTCCAGAGATGGTCTGGGCCCTGTTCTCCGCAGAGTCGCCGCGCTCGAGCTCCAGCACCACCACACAAGCCACATCACCACTGACGCCCACCGCAACTCCCAGGACGACGGCCACGGGACCGACCGTGACACAGGCCACGACCCAGCCCACAGGACCACTGCTCAGCACAGCCACGCGCTCCACAGCACGTTCGACAGCGCGCACCACAGCCGGAAGGCCAACCCCAGCGACGCCAGGGACAGCCACGGGGCCACCCAAAAGTAAGGACGCCCCACCCTGCTGTCCCCACAGAGGACACACAGCACAGGTGCCCCCACGCCCAGCCCACCCTAGCTGGGACTGCATACCAGAGCCTGGCCTCGGACCCCCAGGCAGGGACGCCTCCGGCCAAAAGGACGCGGGCGGCAGGACCAGCCCCAAGCCGGAGCCCACCCACTAACCGCTCTCACTCGTCATTCTTCCTGACCACAGCGCCCGCGGGCCCGTCCACCACAGCCAGGCCGCCAGGGGAGGCCTCACCCACAACAGGTGAGCCCACGCCCCAGGGAGCACAAGCTTCCAGAGTCCCTGGCTCTGCAGGGCAGGGCCTCAGGTCTGCCCTCGGGACCACAAGTCCCACACAACAAAGAACCCCATGGGGGGACTTCAGGGAAGAGCAACGCCCATCACAAATGCTCAGCAGGGGAGTCGGGGGGCCATGGAAGCCCCTGGGGGGAGCCCCACTCAAACACGAACTCTGAGGAGACAGGCCCAATGAAGACACCCAGGAAGGAAGTCAGGGGTCAGGGTAAGAGGACAAGGACACAGCCAAAAAAAAAAGTCTGCACCGAGTGGCACGCAATACAGGCACGCAGCCGAAAAGAAAAAGGGCAGACAAACTAACATTCGCATGATGTTCCCACAGAGCACACGACACCTCACCAAACCACAGACCCACCAGGCCACGGGACACGGCCAACGGAGCCACTGAGATCAACGGAGACCACACCAGGCCAGAACCCAGAGCCCCCCCACTCACACACACCGCCACTAACTGCCCCCGACAGCACTCCCCACACTCAGTCCACCTCCCCCTCCGCCCCGGGCTCCCCGTCCCACCAGCTCCCACTCCACAGGGCCCCCCCACGGGCACCTCCTTGCGCACCACCACCTCCCATCCCCCGCCCTCTCCCTCCTGGACCACTCACTCCACCCAGGTCCCTAACTCGGCCACCGCCTCCGTCACTCCCACCTCCCACCGGGTCATCACCCCGACCCAGCCACACAGCCACTCTCCCCAGCCCTCCACCGCAGCGCCCACGGGCACCTCGGGGCCCTCCACCCACGGCCCAGGCACAAACACCGCGCCCTCCCCCTCCACCCCTCCACGGACACTGAGCACCACCGGGACCACCCCGGCCCCCAACTCTGTCAGCACAGCCAAAACCTCCACCTCCCTGCCGCCTCCCCCGCCTTCAGCCCCTGTCCACTCCGGGACCACCTCCACGCCACACACCGCCACGCCACGCACGCCCACCCACGGTGCAACCGGCACCCCCGCCACACACTCGGCCACCCCCGGCACTCCCCACACTCCGTCCCCCTCCCCCTCCGCCCCCCCGGGCTCCCCGTCCACCAGCTCCCACTCCACAGGGCCCCCCACGGGCACCTCCTTCCGCACCACCACCTCCCATCCCCCGCCCTCTCCCTCCTGGACCACTCACTCCACCCAGGTCCCTAACTCGGCCACCGCCTCCGTCACTCCCACCTCCCACCGGGTCATCACCCCGACCCAGCCACACAGCCACTCTCCCCAGCCCTCCACCGCAGCGCCCACGGGCACCTCGGGGCCCTCCACCCACGGCCCAGGCACAAACACCGCGCCCTCCCCTCCACCCCTCCACGGACACTGAGCACCACCGGGACCACCCCGGCCCCCCAACTCTGTCAGCACAGCCAAAACCTCCACCTCCCTGCCGCCTCCCCCGCCTTCAGCCCCTGTCCACTCCGGGACCACCTCCACGCCACACACCGCCACGCCACGCACGCCCACCCACGGTGCAACCGGCACCCCCGCCACACACTCGGCCACCCCCGGCACTCCCCACACTCCGTCCACCTCCCCCTCCGCCCCCCCGGGCTCCCCGTCCACCAGCTCCCACTCCACAGGGCCCCCCACGGGCACCTCCTTCCGCACCACCACCTCCCATCCCCCGCCCTCTCCCTCCTGGACCACTCACTCCACCCAGGTCCCTAACTCGGCCACCGCCTCCGTCACTCCCACCTCCCACCGGGTCATCACCCCGACCCAGCCACACAGCCACTCTCCCCAGCCCTCCACCGCAGCGCCCACGGGCACCTCGGGGCCCTCCACCCACGGCCCAGGCACAAACACCGCGCCCTCCCCCTCCACCCCTCCACGGACACTGAGCACCACCGGGACCACCCCGGCCCCCAACTCTGTCAGCACAGCCAAAACCTCCACCTCCCTGCCGCCTCCCCCGCCTTCAGCCCCTGTCCACTCCGGGACCACCTCCACGCCACACACCGCCACGCCACGCACGCCCACCCACGGTGCAACCGGCACCCCCGCCACACACTCGGCCACCCCCGGCACTCCCCACACTCCGTCCACCTCCCCCTCCGCCCCCCCGGGCTCCCCGTCCACCAGCTCCCACTCCACAGGGCCCCCCACGGGCACCTCCTTCCGCACCACCACCTCCCATCCCCCGCCCTCTCCCTCCTGGACCACTCACTCCACCCAGGTCCCTAACTCGGCCACCGCCTCCGTCACTCCCACCTCCCACCGGGTCATCACCCCGACCCAGCCACACAGCCACTCTCCCCAGCCCTCCACCGCAGCGCCCACGGGCACCTCGGGGCCCTCCACCCACGGCCCAGGCACAAACACCGCGCCCTCCCCTCCACCCCTCCACGGACACTGAGCACCACCGGGACCACCCCGGGCCCCCAACTCTGTCAGCACAGCCAAAACCTCCACCTCCCTGCCGCCTCCCCCGCCTTCAGCCCCTGTCCACTCCGGGACCACCTCCACGCCACACACCGCCACGCCACGCACGCCCACCCACGGTGCAACCGGCACCCCCGCCACACACTCGGCCACCCCGGCACTCCCCACACTCCGTCCACCTCCCCTCCGCCCCCGGGCTCCCCGTCCACCAGCTCCCACTCCACAGGGCCCCCCACGGGCACCTCCTTCCGCACCACCACCTCCCATCCCCCGCCCTCTCCCTCCTGGACCACTCACTCCACCCAGGTCCCTAACTCGGCCACCGCCTCCGTCCTCCCACCTCCCACCGGGTCATCACCCCGACCCAGCCACACAGCCACTCTCCCCAGCCCTCCACCGCAGCGCCCACGGGCACCTCGGGGCCCTCCACCCACGGCCCAGGCACAAACACCGCGCCCGCCCCCTCCACCCCCTCCACGGACACTGAGCACCACCGGGACCACCCCGGGCCCCCCAACTCTGTCAGCACAGCCAAAACCTCCACCTCCCTGCCGCCTCCCCCGCCTTCAGCCCCTGTCCACTCCGGGACCACCTCCACGCCACACACCGCCACGCCACGCACGCCCACCCACGGTGCAACCGGCACCCCCGCCACACACTCGGCCACCCCGGCACTCCCCACACTCCGTCCACCTCCCCCTCCGCCCCCGGGCTCCCCGTCCACCAGCTCCCACTCCACAGGGCCCCCCCACGGGCACCTCCTTCCGCACCACCACCTCCCATCCCCCGCCCTCTCCCTCCTGGACCACTCACTCCACCCAGGTCCCTAACTCGGCCACCGCCTCCGTCACTCCCACCTCCCACCGGGTCATCACCCCGACCCAGCCACACAGCCACTCTCCCCAGCCCTCCACCGCAGCGCCCACGGGCACCTCGGGGCCCTCCACCCACGGCCCAGGCACAAACACCGCGCCCTCCCCCTCCACCCCTCCACGGACACTGAGCACCACCGGGACCACCCCGGCCCCCAACTCTGTCAGCACAGCCAAAACCTCCACCTCCCTGCCGCCTCCCCCGCCTTCAGCCCCTGTCCACTCCGGGACCACCTCCACGCCACACACCGCCACGCCACGCACGCCCACCCACGGTGCAACCGGCACCCCCGCCACACACTCGGCCACCCCCGGCACTCCCCACACTCCGTCCACCTCCCCCTCCGCCCCCCCGGGCTCCCCGTCCCACCAGCTCCCACTCCACAGGGCCCCCCCACGGGCACCTCCTTCCGCACCACCACCTCCCATCCCCCGCCCTCTCCCTCCTGGACCACTCACTCCACCCAGGTCCCTAACTCGGCCACCGCCTCCGTCACTCCCACCTCCCACCGGGTCATCACCCCGACCCAGCCACACAGCCACTCTCCCCAGCCCTCCACCGCAGCGCCCACGGGCACCTCGGGGCCCTCCACCCACGGCCCAGGCACAAACACCGCGCCCTCCCCCTCCACCCCTCCACGGACACTGAGCACCACCGGGACCACCCCGGGCCCCCCAACTCTGTCAGCACAGCCAAAACCTCCACCTCCCTGCCGCCTCCCCCGCCTTCAGCCCCTGTCCACTCCGGGACCACCTCCACGCCACACACCGCCACGCCACGCACGCCCACCCACGGTGCAACCGGCACCCCCGCCACACACTCGGCCACCCCCGGCACTCCCCACACTCCGTCCACCTCCCCCTCCGCCCCCCCGGGCTCCCCGTCCACCAGCTCCCACTCCACAGGGCCCCCCACGGGCACCTCCTTCCGCACCACCACCTCCCATCCCCCGCCCTCTCCCTCCTGGACCACTCACTCCACCCAGGTCCCTAACTCGGCCACCGCCTCCGTCCTCCCACCTCCCACCGGGTCATCACCCCGACCCAGCCACACAGCCACTCTCCCCAGCCCTCCACCGCAGCGCCCACGGGCACCTCGGGGCCCTCCACCCACGGCCCAGGCACAAACACCGCGCCCTCCCCCTCCACCCCTCCACGGACACTGAGCACCACCGGGACCACCCCGGCCCCCAACTCTGTCAGCACAGCCAAAACCTCCACCTCCCTGCCGCCTCCCCCGCCTTCAGCCCCTGTCCACTCCGGGACCACCTCCACGCCACACACCGCCACGCCACGCACGCCCACCCACGGTGCAACCGGCACCCCCGCCACACACTCGGCCACCCCGGCACTCCCCACACTCCGTCCACCTCCCCCTCCGCCCCCCGGGCTCCCCGTCCACCAGCTCCCACTCCACAGGGCCCCCCACGGGCACCTCCTTCCGCACCACCACCTCCCATCCCCCGCCCTCTCCCTCCTGGACCACTCACTCCACCCAGGTCCCTAACTCGGCCACCGCCTCCGTCACTCCCACCTCCCACCGGGTCATCACCCCGACCCAGCCACACAGCCACTCTCCCCAGCCCTCCACCGCAGCGCCCACGGGCACCTCGGGGCCCTCCACCCACGGCCCAGGCACAAACACCGCGCCCTCCCCTCCACCCCCTCCACGGACACTGAGCACCACCGGGACCACCCCGGGCCCCCAACTCTGTCAGCACAGCCAAAACCTCCACCTCCCTGCCGCCTCCCCCGCCTTCAGCCCCTGTCCACTCCGGGACCACCTCCACGCCACACACCGCCACGCCACGCACGCCCACCCACGGTGCAACCGGCACCCCCGCCACACACTCGGCCACCCCGGCACTCCCCACACTCCGTCCACCTACCCCCTCCGCCCCCCCGGGCTCCCCGTCCACCAGCTCCCACTCCACAGGGCCCCCCACGGGCACCTCCTTCCGCACCACCACCTCCCATCCCCCGCCCTCTCCCTCCTGGACCACTCACTCCACCCAGGTCCCTAACTCGGCCACCGCCTCCGTCACTCCCACCTCCCACCGGGTCATCACCCCGACCCAGCCACACAGCCACTCTCCCCAGCCCTCCACCGCAGCGCCCACGGGCACCTCGGGGCCCTCCACCCACGGCCCAGGCACAAACACCGCGCCCTCCCCTCCACCCCCTCCACGGACACTGAGCACCACCGGGACCACCCCGGCCCCCAACTCTGTCAGCACAGCCAAAACCTCCACCTCCCTGCCGCCTCCCCCGCCTTCAGCCCCTGTCCACTCCCGGGACCACCTCCACGCCACACACCGCCACGCCACGCACGCCCACCCACGGTGCAACCGGCACCCCGCCACACACTCGGCCACCCCGGCACTCCCCACACTCCGTCCACCTCCCCCTCCGCCCCCGGGCTCCCCGTCCCACCAGCTCCCACTCCACAGGGCCCCCCCACGGGCACCTCCTTCCGCACCACCACCTCCCATCCCCCGCCCTCTCCCTCCTGGACCACTCACTCCACCCAGGTCCCTAACTCGGCCACCGCCTCCGTCACTCCCACCTCCCACCGGGTCATCACCCCCGACCCAGCCACACAGCCACTCTCCCCAGCCCTCCACCGCAGCGCCCACGGGCACCTCGGGGCCCTCCACCCACGGCCCAGGCACAAACACCGCGCCCTCCCCTCCACCCCTCCACGGACACTGAGCACCACCGGGACCACCCCGGGCCCCCCAACTCTGTCAGCACAGCCAAAACCTCCACCTCCCTGCCGCCTCCCCGCCTTCAGCCCCTGTCCACTCCGGGACCACCTCCACGCCACACACCGCCACGCCACGCACGCCCACCCACGGTGCAACCGGCACCCCCGCCACACACTCGGCCACCCCGGCACTCCCCACACTCCGTCCACCTCCCCCTCCGCCCCCCCGGGCTCCCCGTCCACCAGCTCCCACTCCACAGGGCCCCCCACGGGCACCTCCTTCCGCACCACCACCTCCCATCCCCGCCCTCTCCCTCCTGGACCACTCACTCCACCCAGGTCCCTAACTCGGCCACCGCCTCCGTCACTCCCACCTCCCACCGGGTCATCACCCCGACCCAGCCACACAGCCACTCTCCCCAGCCCTCCACCGCAGCGCCCACGGGCACCTCGGGGCCCTCCACCCACGGCCCAGGCACAAACACCGCGCCCTCCCCTCCACCCCTCCACGGACACTGAGCACCACCGGGACCACCCCGGCCCCCCAACTCTGTCAGCACAGCCAAAACCTCCACCTCCCTGCCGCCTCCCCCGCCTTCAGCCCCTGTCCACTCCGGGACCACCTCCACGCCACACACCGCCACGCCACGCACGCCCACCCACGGTGCAACCGGCACCCCCGCCACACACTCGGCCACCCCGGCACTCCCCACACTCCGTCCCACCTCCCCCTCCGCCCCCGGGGCTCCCCGTCCCACCAGCTCCCACTCCACAGGGCCCCCCCACGGGCACCTCCTTCCGCACCACCACCTCCCATCCCCCCGCCCTCTCCCTCCTGGACCACTCACTCCACCCAGGTCCCTAACTCGGCCACCGCCTCCGTCACTCCCACCTCCCACCGGGTCATCACCCCCGACCCAGCCACACAGCCACTCTCCCCAGCCCTCCACCGCAGCGCCCACGGGCACCTCGGGGCCCTCCACCCACGGCCCAGGCACAAACACCGCGCCCTCCCCCTCCACCCCTCCACGGACACTGAGCACCACCGGGACCACCCCAGACCCTCATCTGGGCAGCAGTATCCGAACCTCCACGTCTGTGGTCAGCCCGTCTCTGTCTCATCCCCCAGGCTCCAGCGCCAGCCCCCCTGCATCCCCCCCGGGCTCCCTGAACTCGACCCAGAGTCCTGGGAGCACTGTCCCAGCCACATCTCAGCCTCCACAGCCCTCCGCCTCTTCCCCCAGCCACTCCGAGTCCTCAGTCCCGGCCACCCTCCGGCCTCCTTCCCCATCTCCCTCTGAAGGCTCCTCCCAGGCACCCACTTCTACTAAACAACCTGTCCCCCCTTCCCCCCTGACCTCGGCGGTTTCCACCCCCCCGCTGTCCCCCACCTTGATCCCCAGCATCCCCACCTCCCCCTCTGGACCCCCTATCATCTCCCACACAGCCCCTGGGTCTACACCTCCTGTTCCCCCCGCCGTGTCCACTCCCCACACATCCTCCGTCTCGCCTCCACGCACCCCCACCGCACCGCCTGCGTCGGCGTCGACCACACCCCCTGTGCACCCGTCTCCCTCCCCGTCGCACAGCCCCGCCCCCAGCAGCTCGGCTGTGGCGTCCACCGCCCGGATCACCGCCAGCACACCGGCCCACTCCACGCCGTTGTTCCTGTCCTCCACCTCCCAGTCCACTTCTCTCACCTCCCAAGTGCCCACGCCCAGCCTCGTGCCGTCCACGCTGGGGGTGACCGTCCTCCCCAGCTCCCCTGCCACAAACCTCACCACCAGGCCTCCCAGCACCACACGACTGCTCACCACGGCCTTCCTGAGCAGCCGCGGCACCCTGCCCGGCGGCTCCGCCTCCCCTACCTCGGGCTCCGCGGCCTCTTCCCTCCCGCCGTCCACACCCAGCTACTCCAGTAAGTGCCGTCTCCACCACCTCCCTGGTGACGCCGTGCACGGCTTCCTCCTGGCCTGGCCTCTCTGCTCCGCAGCACCTTGGGTCACCCCCGGCCCCAGCGCCCGCCTTCTCTGGTCTCCGCACACTGCCTGATGGCCACCGGGGCTCTGCTCTCACCTCCCTGCCTCTGTGCCCCAAGCCGGGACACAGCACACGCACGCCCCCTGCCGCCGTCTCGGTGGGCAGGTCTCCTTCCCCGCCCAGGAAGCCCGCACGCCTCCTGGGGACAGCCTGGCCGCCCAGGGCGCCGAGCACAGACCTGCCCCCGACCGGCCGCAGGCTCTGGGCGCAGCCCCGCGGGTGCGGCTGCGGTGTCCTCAGCCGTACCCTGAGGCCGTCTGGGTCGCATCTCGCACACCTGGCCGCCCGCGCCTCTGCTGTCTCCCGTCCTCTGCCGCATGCCAGCCTCGTCCCTGGGGCCCGTTCTCAACCTTCGTAGATGGGACCCCAGCCCCTCTCTCCCTGGCCCCCAGACCCCTGTCCAGCAAACTCTGGTCTGGCCGGCGTGGCACCTGGCCTCCTCCAGCTGGTCCCCTATCCCACCTCTACTCCTGGACTCGGCTCTCTCATGTCCCGCCCGCCATGTCCCCTGCTGCAACCCTGGCCTCCCTTTGAGGGGACCCCGCCTCCCCCAGGCTGCAGAGGGGAGGGCAGAACCTGGTCGCCTGTGCCCCACCCCCAGGGACGGCTGGGGGCCAAGCCGGGACGCACGCAGAGCCCCCACCCACTGTCGGCCTTGCCACAGCTCAGCCCTGCAGCCGCCTCCAGCTGCCACTCTGCCCTCCTGCCCGAGGCCTGCCTGACCCACCCTGTCCTCCAGCAACGCCACTCGCCCCCTGTGGGTGTTCCTCCCACAGCATCCGTTGCCCGGACTGGGCTCCCCTCACAAGCCCCAGGCAGGGCTGTTCCCAGTGACACAGTCCTCCTAGAGGACAACGACTAGGTGTAAGGTGTCCGTGGGGAGGGGACCCCAGGGGGCGAGGGAGCCAGAGAGAAATCAAGAGGGAAGGACGGCTAGGGCATCGGCAGCCCATGCGGACACCCCGGAGTCCTACCCTGCCGGGTCTGCCCCCGCCGGCGGAGAACAAAGCAGGCAGGGGTGAGGCCCGGGCAGGGCGGGGAAAACAGGGCGGCCACCCCGTCTTTGCTCAAGAAGCTCCTTTGGCTTTCCTTCGGCCCCGCAGTGGCGTTTCCCGTGGTCACACTGCTCTCCTGGCTGCCGGGGCGCCCATGGTGGCACACCATCTCTGTCCCTGGGGCGATGCAGGCCAGGTCACAGACCCCCACAGGGACCACAGACCCCTGCAGGGAGCACCCCTCTGGGGACGCTGACATCCTCCCCCCATCCCTCCCACAGGTTCTGGGCCAGACAAGACAGAGCCACCTATGCCCACAGGTAGGTATCACCTGGCAGGAGAGGTAGCTGGGGAGGCTGGGGACGAGTACAGGAATCTGCCCCGTCCTCTGGGAAAGCCCTTGACCTTGGGGGTACCGGCTGGCTTTGTCCCAGATGTAAAGTCTGAGGTCAGTGGGGCTCAGACAAGGGGAGATGGCCAGGGTGGGGCCCAGCAGTGCTGACAGGCCCCCAGGGTCGTCCCCTCTCGGGGCTGTGCAGCTGGTCCTGCTTCCTCCCGGCCCCACCGGGCCGGCACTGCGCCCCACCAGCCCAGAACGCACTCGGAGGAGCTGGGGCCCAAAACTCGGCGGGTACACTAGCCCTTCCCTCTCGAGGGTCCAGCGCCTGCCCTGTGACCACGCCCTGGGGCGGGTGTCTCATGGCCCCCGCCCCCCCCGCCCCCCCCGCCCCCCCGCCCAGAGGTCTGCAGTGTGCGGGAGCACGAGGAGGAGGTCACTTACCAGGGGTGCACAGCCAACGTGACCGTGACCCGCTGCGAGGGCGTCTGCGCCTCCTCCGCCAGGTGAGCTGAGGGCCCGCGCTGCCTCCACCCACTGTCCGGTCCCAAGCGTGGAGCCCGCCTGGCCCGACGGGGGCTCCGAGTGTCACTCGGCGGCTAAGCCTGCGGGTGGTCCCTTGACAGCCAGGAAGGTCGGGAACAGAGGCCACACCCTGAGGACCCCACCTGGGTCTGCCCTCCCGCAAGTGGCCGGGGAGGGGTGGGGCCGCCTGAGGCCGTGGCCCTGACCCGCCCGCCCTGTGGTGCATCCTCTGCAGCTTCAACGTGGGCACCAGACAAGTCGGCACCCAGTGCAGCTGCTGCCGCCCCCTCAGCTCCTACGAGAAACAGCTGGCGCTGCCCTGCCCAGACCCCGCGGTCCCGGGGCGGCCGCTGGTGCTCACGCTGCAGGTGTTCCGGCACTGCGTGTGCGGCCCCGGGCGCTGCGGAGACGCAGCCCCCTGGGTGAGAGAATGAAGCACCACCCCCAGCCCCCAGCCCCCCTCGTGCTGCCCCCAGCAGCCCCTTTCCAAGCGTGGCCTCGAAGAGCGTGGGGTGCAGCCCACCCAGGCACCTGCGGGAAGAAGCCGCTGGGCGGGGGTCCTGCAGACCCCGGCCCAGCCCAACAGGCTGCAATGAACTGCTGGCCTCCTGCCCCACAAGGCCCTCCCAGGCCACGGCCACCCATCGTCCACACGGCCTCCCGGCCTCGGGAGGCGCTGCCCAGCCCTGCGGAGGGAGACGCTGGCCCAGAGGAGGCTGCTTCAGAGGGGAGGGGAGGGAGGGCCGGAGCGGGGTGGGTGCAGGCACCCGCCGTCAGGGGTGCCTGTGCCCCAACAGCGCTCACCCTGCCTGACAGACAGGCCCCCATGGACAGATGGTCAATAAACTGGCACTGACCAAGGCACAGACACTGCCCGGAACTCTGCTTGTCGTCTCCGTGCCCCCAGGCGTCTGTGACCCCTGAGCCGCGCCTGCCCCACAAGAGCCTCCCCGCCCCGGCAGACCCTCTCTCCTCGGCCCGCCGCCAGGGGCCCTCCCGGCTCAGGGCACTCCCGGAAGCCCGCCGCCCCGTGGGATGCGGCTCCAGGCTGTGGCTGGGCTCACGCCCCAGGAGGAAGACCCCAGTCCCATAGGGCGCTCAGACCCACGGCCCCCAAGAGGCCGACCACCCCACGCACGCCGTGAGGTGGAGGGCCAGGCTGGGCCCACACAGTGACCCAACACGCGGAGCAAAAGGCGCAACCTCTCCCGTGTGCCTCGCTCACCCAGGGCCCGGACGGCCGAGCTCTGGCGGACGGCCCGCCCAGGGCAGGCGCCTGTGTGGTTGGGACCCCGGGCCAGGGCGGCCCACAGGACGGGACCTCAGGCTGCACGGGGGGCGGCTTTCCCTGGGGCAACCGCGCATCCCCGTGGCTGTCCCCCCCGCTGACGGCCCCCACGCCCCCGTCACCGTCCTAGCACGGATTTTCCCTCGACAAGGAACACGCTTGGTGACGGTCTGCAGCTGCAGCGGCACTCCAGGCAGGGCCCGGTGCCGGGGAGGGTGCCGACCGACACCAGTCTGAGGCCCCGCCGCGCAGGCGGCCCACACGGCGGCTGCGAGCCCCGTGCGGAGCCCCGCAGCTCGAGCAAAAGCGCAGGGCGTCCCTCCGGAGGCCTGGCCACGCCGGCGGTCTCCTCCGCAGGCCCAGCGCATGGCCCGCTGTGCTCCGCCAGGGCCCAGGCCCAGGGCCAGGCAGGCGCCGGCCCTCGGGTCAGCGTGGCCCGCGGAACGGCCCTTCGGGAGCCACGCAGTCGGTGGGTGTGGGGGCCCGGGTGGGCCTCTGCCGTGAGGCGGGGCCCCAGCACCCCGACGGGTCCTGAATCGGCCCCCCAGGGCCCGCCCTGCAGCACAGGCCTCACGGGGGTCTGCGGCACAGCTCCTGGGTGCCCAGGGCCTGCTGGAAACTGGGGGAGCCCACAGAGCCCCAGCTCCTCCAAGGCCTTTGGGTGCCCACAGCAGACCACCTGCCAGCCTGAGCCACTGCCCCCCACACGCCGGCCCACCGGCCAGACAGAGGCCCGGAGCAGCTCTGCTCCCGGGCCGGCCTCTCCGGCGCAGACCGGCAACATGGCAGCCAGCGCAGGGCGACACCGTGTGGCCTGAGCAAGGAGAGCAGCATGCGAGGACGAGCCCGGCTCATCCCCGGCAGGCTCTCCACCCCCTGACCTCCCTGCCCCACCACGCCGGCCAAGGTGAGCAGCCACGCTGGCACCTGTGAGCCCCAGGAAAACTGCAAAGACAGCTCAAGGCCACCAACGGGAAGGAGACCAGGTCTCCTCCCGGAATCTTTTCTCCTGGTCGCATTTAACCCCCCCCCCCGTCACAGGTGGGAGGTGCCCGGTCACTACGGTGAAAACTACAGGCGGGTGAGGTCGGCTACACGCCCTCGAGAGCCTCAGCGAGCCCCGAGGTCACGCAGTCAGGCGGCCTCACAAACACCCGTAGGGACACAGCGCTGGAAGGGAGGTGTTCGGCTCTGGCTGGGACGCGTGGTTTGCGGGTGGGAACCACACAGGTGTCTGGCGTCCAGGGGTAGAACGCCGCCACGGACGCACCCCAGGCAGCCTCCAGCCTGCGTGCGCAGCGCCGCCCACCAGGGGCCCGAGCACGGGCCGGGCCGCACGGCCCCCCGTCCCGCATCTCCCGCACCCGGGGTCACCCTCCAGAACAGCCGGCGGCCTGCAACAAAACACTGCCGCGTCTCCAAGAAACAGCACACGCAGTGGCATTTTGATAAAATTTCAAAAATGTACATTTTCATTCAAACTTCTAATTTCCCTTTAATTTGTAGATTTAACCACAGAACTGTCTTGATTCCTATAAAATCTGACCCCAGGACCCAGGCCCCCTCCTGACCCGGCAGGCCGGCTGCAGTCCGGGCTCAGCCCTGCTCCTGACGCTGGGCGCCCGCGCTCCCGTCCGCACGGGGGGAGGGGGGGGGAGGGGCGCAGCGGTGGGGGCGGGCGGCAGCCCTGCCCGGCAGCCTGCGTGGGGGGGTGCTCGCGCGCGCGGCACAGGACGCGGGCGACGGCGGAGGCGAGGGGGCGCGGGCACGCGCCTGGCCGCCACCCCGGGAACTAGAACTGCTCCGACAGCAGAGCGCACAGTCTCTGGGAGACGGTCTCCTTGCTCGTCCGCAGCGTGAGCCGGTACATCTGAAACGAGAACGGCAGGTCAGTGGCCTCCGGGCCCGCTCAGCCCGGCACCTGGACAGCGGCCACGCACACCCCCCTTCTCTGAGGTGTGCACCGTTTCAGAGACTTGGGCATCAAACGAGCTTCCAGCACCTGAAGTAAGGCCGTGTGACCGTGACCGTGACAGCAGGCACATGAGCCACTGGAACCTCAGACGCCGCTGGTGGCGCAGGTCCCAGCCCCTCTGGAGAGCTGTGGGGCAGCCTCCGGCAAAGCTACCCGGGCATGGACCCTGGGAGCCCGCAGGTGCACACGGGCCCCTCCCAGGCGAAAGTAACACAGGCGTCTGCACGAGGGCACGTGCAAGGCCTCTGCAGCAGCTCTGCTCAGAATGACCCCCAGGACAGCCCGGCAGCAGGAGGGAACCCACCACGCAAAGGGGTGCCTCACGGCCGTCTGAGAGACACAGGGCTGACACGCAGAGGCCTGGGGCGGGGGGGCCGGAGCAGACAGCGAGGGCACCAGGCAACTTTCTGGGGCGATGGGGATGTCAGGTGTGTGCGTGAGCTGGTGGGAGTCACACAGGTGCACCCCGTCCAAACTCCCCGAGCCCCTGCACTAGGATCTGCATCTGTGTGCATCACGGCACTGTGAAAACTTAAGTGTACTTGTAGCCATCTCATCAGGAGGCCTGACCTGGGCCTGTAGATTCGGCTCCAAACGCAGTAAGCAACCGATCTGGGTGGTTCTGGTGTGGATGATGCCGGCTCCCACAAAGTTAGCAGGATTAGGGTCGACTTCTTCGAGGAGTGCAGAGCCAAACCCAATAATCTGCACGAAGGAAACGGGGGAGTTGGGACGCTCTGGTGGCCGAGGCGCGACACGGGGCCCCCACTCGGGAACGCCCTGAACAAGGTCATTGTCACCTTGGCTTTGGTGATCTCTGTGTCCATTGGATGCTTCGCCTTGAAAATGTTCTGCACTTCCTGTTGGGGACTGTGAGACACAAAGGCCAGCGTCACACCCTCAGCTGAGTCCCAGATCACAAGCCCGGCCTCCCCGCACCCCCACCCCACAGGACGGCCGGCTCACCTGCTCAGCTGCTTCCAGCGCTGAAAGAAACCCTGAGAAGCCATCTCTGTGGGCTGGAAAAACTTGTTGAGTGTGATGGGCAGCTTGACGGACACGTTCTGGAAGGTCCCTCCATACCTGCGAGCAGCAGAGAGGGGCTGATCTTTGCCTCCGGATGGCCGGAGGCCCCAGGACACGGCAGGGAGCCAGCCCCGCCGCACATGGGCCTCTGGGGCCGGGAGGGCCGCACGGTCAGCAAGGGCGGGCAGGTGTGCGGGGCCCATTCTGCCCCAGCGCGCACCGCCACTGACCGGAGGGCCCGCCGGCCCCGCGCCACCCCCAGGACATGGCGGGGATCGCACTCCTCTGGCTGAGCAGCACTGCGGGGCCCATCGCACCCCAGGACCAGCCTCAGGCAGGACGCCCCGACCTCAGGGCTCCCGCCGCGGTCCGTATCCCACAACGCCACGTTACTTCAAACTATGGCGGGCTTTTTTTTTTTTTTTTCCATAAAAAGACTGAAAAAAAGACGTTGTCTACAGCAGGCAACAAAAACTTGCCTAGTTTGCTCAATTCTACAAACTATACGATCTCCCGTTCTCTCTTCATTTAATGTTTGAAAACATGCTTTTCCAGAAGTTCGACCACGCAGACGCCCAGCAGAGAGCTGAGCGACCACGCCCACTCTATTGCAGTCACTGAAAGATGACAATGATGAACCAGTAACACCACCAGGGAGAACAGCTTTTAAAAAACAATCGAAACAGCGTGCACGCTCCAAGCACAACTGTGAACACGTGCCCGGCCAACGAGGACGTGGGGGACCCGCCCCCTGCGGCTGACTCAGAGAGGCGGCTGAGCAGCGAGCAGCACGTGGGGCCTGTTGGCCCCAGCACCAGGGGGCAGGCCCCCGTCCGCCGGCTCGAAAGCACGGGGCCTTGAACACGGCCCACTGAAAGGACCCACGGGGCTAGACCACACCAGCCTCGTGGACTCCGGGCTCGCCGTCTGTCCCGTCGCCACACTCCGCAGCCAGGGCTGCAGTGCACACGGCCCCATCAGCGCCCACTGGGTCCCCTGCCCCGTGCTCACCACAGCCCCTGAGGGAGGGGCACCGGGGCCTAGCGAGGAAGAGCGGCTCCCAGGGACACAGCTGCACGCGGGCCCCACCCCGGCCCCTGGAGCTCCAGGCCTGAGCCGGGGCTTGGGACGCCTGCCGGCCAGCGGGCACCGCCCCCAGGGCTCCTACCTGAACTGGATGTTGAGGACTGGTGCCTCGGTGAAGTCCGACACGCACTCGATGTTGACCACCTGCTGCACCTGTGCACCCCCGTCCACCGTTG